CCGGGCCTTAGAGAGGGGCGGGGACGGTCCTCCGAGCGCGGCGGAGCGGCCGTAGGCGGTGCTGACCATAGAGCGCGGCGCGCAGAGCGCCCACCTCCAAGCCCCAAGGTGGCAGAGCGGGACCCTTCGAGGGGGCGGGGCGAGCGGAGACGGGGCGGGGCCTCCTGTTGGCGCTGCCCAATGGGAGCGCGGCGAGCGGGCGGTGCCGTCCAATGGGAGCGCGGGGCCGGCCGCCGCCGCTTTGTCTATATGAGGCGCCGCGAGGCCGCGGGAGCCGCCATTGTGACTGCCGCCGCGCTCGCGACAGCGCTCCCGCCTTAAAGGGGCCGCGCCGCCAACTCGACCAGCAAAGACCGGGTGGGTCCCACCGCTCCGGCAAACGTCATCGCGCCCAGCCCGACCCGCGCCGCCACCATGAGGGAGATCGTCCACATCCAGGCGGGCCAGTGCGGCAACCAGATCGGGGCCAAGGTGAACAGCGGGCGGGCGGGCGGCGTCGGGCCCGCTCCCGCCTTAAAGGGGCCGCGCCGCCAACTCGACCAGCAAAGACCGGGTGGGTCCCACCGCTCCGGCAAACGTCATCGCGCCCAGCCCGACCCGCGCCGCCACCACGATTTCAGCCTAAAATCTTGCCTTTCTTGCCCGCTCGGGGCCTGAAATGAAAAGCGCGGCCTCGAAATAACGGGGTTCGGCTTCCAAACGGAGCGGGTCGGCCCTAAAATGGAGGTTTCCGGCTTCAAAATGGGGGCGCCCCGCCCCTCCCCCCCCCTTCTTCTCACGCGGCCCCAAAATGGCGGTTTCCCGCCGCGCCTGAGGGAACCGGCCCCGGGATGCGGCTTTTCGGCCCTAAAACGCCACTTTTTACCACAAAAAATGTTATTTTCTTACCCCTTTCAACATATTCGCCCCCCAAATGGCTATTTTTGTCTCGATTCGGGGATTTTCAGCCTTAGGGTGGGGGTTAAAGCCTTAGAATTAAGGGGGAGTATATACCCATAATGGAGGTATTCCCACGCACATTCCCCAAGCGATGTTAAAAAAACAGAACTGTGCTGTTTTAAACTCAAAATCGCGACGACCTGCCCCTTGGGGGTTGTTCAGCTCCAGAATGATCGGGTCTGGCTCCAAAAAAACGAATTGCACTCCCATATTTAGGTATATAAGCCGCAAAATAGGCGTTTTCCGCGCTAAAAACACTTCTATGCCCTAAACTAATTTATTTTTTTTTGTCTCAAAAATCGGGGCGTGGCGCCCACAGCGTGTGCGGCCTCAAAATTTGGGTTTTCTGCCTCCAAAAATGGTTTTCTGAGCCCAAAATGCTTTTTTTTTTCACCCCCAAAATAGGGGCGTGCCGCCTCTCAAAAGGTGCTTCACGGCCACAAAATGCGAGTTTTTCGCCCCCCAGAAAAGGGATCGTTGTGCCCCAAAATAGGAATTATTTTTCCTGGGCATAAAGTTGGGGTTTGGGGTCAAAAAATAAATGTTTTTAAGGCCCGATATTGAGGGGTTTGACCTCAAAAATGGGGGTTTCCGGCCCCAAGATGGAGATTTTTGGCCTTGAAGTAAGTGCTTTGTTCCCTGAAAAGCAGTTTTCAGCCCTAAAAAAGGGGATTTCCACCCCCAGAACAGGCTTTCTAGCACTGAGGTGGAGGCTTTCAGACTTTAAATACCATTTTTTTTCTAACAACCTGGATTTTTTTCAGGATTAAAACGTGGCTTTCTGCCCCAAGGTGGGTTTTCCAGCCCCAAAATGGAGGTTTTCAGCCTGAGAGAAAGATCTTTGTTCCCCGAATTGTCATTTTCAGCCCCCTGGTGGCTTTTTTTCAGGTATAAAATAAGGTTTTGAGGACCCAAAATGAGCTTTTCAGCCCCAAATAGAATTTTTTGTTTTGTTTTGTTTTTTTTTTCACAGCTAAAATGGGGGGGCTTGCCCCCAAAATGGAGGTTTCCAGCCCCAAAATGGAGGGCATCGGCTCAAGAATTAACATCTTTGTGCTCCCAAATGCCATTTTTTTTTCTGCCGCAAATTAAGGGGTTTCATAATTAATGGGGGTTTTGCCCCAAAATGCGGATTTTTTTGCTGCACAACGGCAGTTTTGGCCCTAGAGTAGACGTTTTTCGCCTCAAAATAGTCTTTTACTCTGCCGGAGTATAATATTTTTTGCTGAATACTAGGATTTTCCTGCCCTTAAATATTTTTTCAGCTCTAGAACAGGGGTTTTAGTACAAAAATTGGTGTTTCTCCACCCAAACGATGACTTTTTTGGCTCAAAACGGACGTTTTCGGCATCAGAATAAGATCTTTGTTTCTCCAGGCGGAGGTTTCAGCCCCCAAAATGGGACTATTTCATCCCAGAACGGGAGCTTTGTTCTCCAAAATAGATTAAAAAAAAAAAAAAAAAAAAGCTTTTAAACACCAAAAAAGCAAATTATTTTTTTGCCCCGGAATGATGCTTTTAACCGCATAATAGCAATATTTAACGTCAAACTGGGATCATCCCACTGCAGAATTACTCTTTTTCTGCAGCACTGCCAGAGAGGCTTTTTCTTCCTAAAAAAACACGTTTTGCCGCCAAAATGGAGATTTTTAGCCCCAAAATTTGTTTCCCCACCCCAGGGACTTTTTAGCCCACAATTAAATTTTTGGCCAGAAAAGGCCCTTTTTCTGCCCTGAAGCAGGCTTGATTTTGAAGAAAAATCATAATTTTTTAACTGCACCTTAATGCGGATTTTTCAGGCTCTGGAAGCACATTTTTTTAACCCAAATTAATGTTTTTTAACCCATTTCTCCTCTTTCACTCCCAATTTTCCCTGATTTTACCTTTTACCCGCAGGGTGTGGCCCTGCCCCCCCCAACCCCCCCCCAACCCCCGCAATGACCTTGGGGGGAGGGGGGGT